TAGGCAAGTCAGACCAGGCAAGAGGGACTAAAGACAAAGAAGTTGTGGTACTGGAAATGCAGAGGTGATAGTGCTGCCGTACTTCCCAGAGTATGAGACTGGAACATAAGACTTCTTCTCTACTAAAGACTCTTTGTATAGGGGTTGAAGAAAACACCAGTGTCCTGCTTAAGTGTGTAGCTCAGGAATTTTTATTTGGCTGTAGCTGGAATGTAGTGACAAGGTTTAATACGGAAGACATTGCTTCCTGATACTCGTGAGTATAAAAAAGACGTTGAGAGCCAGGACAAGAAGACAGGATCATCTTCTGTCATTTCAGTCTCTGAGGACCTCATAACTGCTGTTCCCACATTTATGTTCTGCTCTTTCTGTATCTATTTTATTCATCACAAAATCCAGGTGCAGAGACTGATACCTAGGTTCTCAAAGTCACCCAGAAGCATACACACCATGGATATAAAGAGAAGGAAATGTCAAGAAAATAAAAAAAAGACTCTAAATTTTCACCTAAATGAATTGTTGTAGACATAGTGAAAATCGACACAGATGCTGATATCACATAGCCTTTCACTATGGACCCAATGCTTTACCAAGTAGGCCACCACTGGTTTGTAACTCTCAAATTGCAGACATGTTAAAGCCAGGCAAAATGAATCAGAGTTGTCCAAGAAGCATTATAATAATGAACTGCTGTCCATCACCTTTTGAAGATGACTTTTTCAGAGGCCATCCACGGGATTCTGTGAAATCCTTAGGTAACTCGGTTCTAGCAGCCAGCAGCTGAAACCTCCAAAAGAGTCAGCTCTCGAGGATGCCTTTCTTGTACTAGCTGAGACATAAATACAGCTGTGTAATATTTGCCTTACCTGAACTGTTGCACTGATACACTGTAGTCTACAGATTCTGACAACTTTTTACCCTTTCCCTCCATGACTACCAGTGTTGACCGTCAGACACTTTGACTCAACAAGGCAGAACATCTAAGGTTTTCTGTCCCGTTGCACAACTATGACTTCAAATCATACCAACGATTAGAAAGTACCTAACCGAGGGGCATTTTGTTAGACACCAGGCTGTGCAGTCAGGAGCTGAATCACCCTCAGCAGCTGGACTCTAGAAGGTGTGAAGGCAGCCTCCCCGCCTATCTCTGGCACCTCAGGTAGGACAAATTCAGATCACAAAACTCGGAAGAACATTTGATCTATGCCACACACAACCTCTTTCGTAACTATGGTATTTAGCTACATACATGGTCATCCATGCAGACACTGAGAAAATACATACATGACCCGCGCATTTTCTTTTTCTCCTGGAGAGAAGTGGATGGGCTGGGAGTGAGGTATTAATTGAGACTCGTTACTCTTGATAGATGTTAGCAGAGTCCTTAATCACTCATGATGGCCAGAATACTCATTACCTGAGTTGAGAAACCACATCCTTCAACAACAATCTGTTTTTCTTGCAGATTGCTTGCTTCTATGTTTGCAGAATTATAGTAGGGTAACATGGGGTGAGTATTTGGGGCTTGAAAGAGTGAGCCACATTGCTGTCTGCCATGACTTTCTTCAATTAAGGCAAAAGAAGAGTGTGAGTCCTGTAATCCTTTTTCCTAGAGTTAAATGGGCTGTGGACAGTAGAGTAGTGACTACATGGGAGCTGACATCATAGAGGACAGGTTACAGGCTGTAAGTAAAATTTGGAGTACGTGGAACAGCCACTGAAGATCCACTCTGAACTTTTCTTCTACGTACAGCATATCATACCTGGACTGAACTCGACTTTTGGGACTGTCATTTGTTAGTGAAAACAGGCAATGAAAGTGCACGTAGCATTTCCCTGGGTTTAGGAAGGAAGGAGATCATGAAGCTCTGGTTTGTACCACCCACTCGCAGCAGTTCTGATGTCTCTCTAACACAAAGGTCAAGGCCAAAAGCTTTTTCTCTGTGCAGAGAGGGATATTAAATTTGCATTTCAATACAAAATTTAGAAAATTTACTCATCATGAGGAAAATAACTGTCTGATTATATGACAGGGATTACAAGTTTACTATCTTTGCATTTCCCCTGAGTATGACGTATAAGGCAGTACTGCATTCTCAAGGGAAAACCAGGAAGGAACTAAAGCTGATTTATCTGTGTATTATAATCCCAGCATCAGCAAGGAGTTTTTAAAAAGCACCAAGTCCCTGGGAAATGAGACCAGCACACAACTTATCTGTCCTAGCACAGTCTGCTACTTCGTTCCTGAAGTCTTTCCATATGTGATCCCTATTCATCAGAAACACCATAAATTAAATAATAGTTCAGCGTGTTCTTTTGCTGCCATATTTTCTGTGCTTGGGGGGGGGGGCGCGATCAGAAATGCTAAACTTTATTTATTTCTCAGGATTAGAAAGGAAAAAAAATCTTAGTATTGGACACAATATTCAAAGCCACGGAATTTATGAAATTGAGGGCTTTTTGCAACAGTATGACAAATTCCGTATTTAAACAGATCACTCCCACCACACAGAAGCAAAAATATAACATGCTTTTTGTTCAGAGATTTACCATGTTTAATTATTCATTTTTTTCAGTAGCTTAACCATGTATTCAGATAAAGTAATAAACAAAAGTGTTCGAAGTGAGGCCATATTATCTTTATGTTATTTTTAAATTGTGATCAGGTATCTGTGGGACATGGAAAACTAAAAATCAAACAAAGTACATAATCTTTGCTTCTCTAATAAAACTTAGTGCCAAATTGTGCTCTCAGGTAAATTTCTATAAATTTCTTACATCCATAAGGGCATTACAATCCAAGGGCATATTTCTGTGTTTAAAAAGTGCAAAAGATCAGGAGTTGTTCTCATGTCTTAAAAAGCTCAGCACACTCCAAAAGGAGAGCTGGTGTCTGGCTCTCAGCACCCCGCTGACCTGGTGCAAGCAGATGCAGCATCACGTAACTCCAATAAGCTGATTAGACTTCATCAGATTGTAATTTGTAATTTATTTTTTTTTACTTTAATTTACCTGCTTCAGTGAATGAGAGCACAATTTGGCTTCTTTCTCAGTAAAAAGGAAGCCAACCAAACACAACTTTCACCGGGCCTCAGTTTTCGGCCCCAGATTTCAACATACACTATTACAGCAATCAAAAGAACCATAGAAATTACTTATCATTTTACTGTTCCTTAACACATTTCACACAGTCCTGCAGCGAGCAGAATCACAGATGAACCTCAGAACATACAGAGAGCACAACTACTACACTGGACATGAAAAGGAAATTTTATTAAACATGTTTACATAACATGAGTTTTAAGTTCATTTAAAAGCACAGGGGAGTGTTAAGACAAGTGGTCAAAATAGAAAGATACTACCGAATTATCACTAGTTGTTTTTTTGGCCACTAAGACAGAACAGGATCTAGTAGTAGTGCACCAATGCTTGAGTTCTTCCTGCTCAGCAGGTCGAGCAGTAACCAATCTGCGCCCTATGGAAAGATGGGCAGAATAATTCCCACGTGTTGAGTAATAATAAATAGTTCACTTGGTGCAGGCAGTATGTCTATGAATTAAAATCTAGTGTGTACACAAGTTTCTACATGTGTTACAGCCCCACAGTAGGAATCTACACCAAAATAGTTATTAGAAGGAATTTGGTCCGTACTACATCACGTTTTCCATAGGGTAAAAAATAAAGTCCATCTATAGACATTTAGCACCAGACTCACAGACCTAGCCTGGCTAAAACCTGCAAAATGTCTATAAGAAAAATGGATGGCTTAGATTTCTTGGTTACTTCAGTATAGTAATTACGAGCAAACTGTACAAGTACATGCAACATACAAGCTGGCCTATGTGGAACTAACATACATTATTAAATGACCTTTTTCATCTCTTTTTACAAAACGTGCATGCAGCTTTGAACAGTTCCAAGTCATGCTGCTCTATTTTTGTGATCACAAAATTGAATGGCCTGTAAAAGGAGGGGAAACATATCAATGCACCTGCAGGAATCTGCAGTTGTTCGCACATTTACAGAATATCACAAGGGATTTCAAGGCCAAGAACTCAAATGAATAAAAAGCAAATTGGAATTTGACTCTTTTTTTTTTTTCTCCAAAAAGTAATATATCTTGCGTTAAAAAATCAAGCCTTGTGCTTGCATCAATCTCAAAGAAATGTAAACTAAAATTTGATAAAAACATTAGTAAGTGCAGAATATTTCAACTGGAATTTCCAGTGAAACACTGAACAACTCATACCATGCTCTATCCAGGGCAGACAGGTGCGTCTGAGGTGACACACATCAGAGAAGCCTGGGTACAGCTGAAAGTGTCATATGCTCAATCCATTCCTGGTCAACATTTTGGGAAGTCAAATATACATTTATACACAGAAACGTAAATATTTCCTCTCCATTTCTAGGAGGAAAACTGCATTACCAGTAACATATTCAATGTCAAAATTAAGACTAAAGCTGCTTTATACCAGTCCCCAGCAGTAGTTGCAGAATTCTTCAAAATTCTTCCATGCAAAACATCATAAACATAAAAGTTAGTATATATAATGCAAACATATCTGCTTTTTACAAAGGAAAAGTGGCACTGTGATGATTATTTATTTTTAAGAATATAACTTAGATTGGTCATTTGTTCTGGGTTCCTATGTGAGAGACTTGGAAGTGCCAGAACTGAGAAACGATTTAACTCGCTGAAATTGTAACTGTGGCTGTTGAACACTTTAACGATGCTTACAGAGATATGCTTCAGCCCTTTTTTGTTTAGTTTAGAAAAAGAAAGGAAGGGTCTCTGTTCGTGTCATGAGGACTTCTACAAAACTAGCAGAATCACATGGCAAAAAACTAGTGGAAATGACAAGTACAGAAAAACTGCTGAAACACCAGGAAGGTAACGCTGCTTGAGGGCTCTGTCAAAATGTGAAAAATATAACATTGTTAACAGAGTGAGAGCTTCCAGTTTGGCTCATTTTTGACTTAGTTTGAATCTACAGGTCCCTTTCTCTCTTTTTTTTTTTTTTTGATCATTATAAGCATCGGCGATAGCTGCTAATAAATTGGCCGTATACCTTTGTTCTGTCAATTTAAGCCACCTCTCGACAAACATGTATTTTTGGATAACTACTACAAGCAAAAACAGAAGTGATTGTCTCTCCCCAACAGTGTTTTTTGATCATGTGAATATCTGGTTCCAATTGTTATCCTGGGTGATGTTTTTATTAGACAGCACCTGCTACTACGATCTAATGCAGGGAGGCCCAGTTGAACTTTCCAGAGATGACTGGGAAGCCCTGCGTGTCAGGGGAGTCAAGGTTGGATCCACTAGAGATGAAGGTGGAAATAATTTATACCAGCCTATTACCACACTGGACAGATCCAGTTCCTCCAGAAGGATCTGGGCAACTCCCATGAAGCATTTGTGGTCCATTCGGCCATAGTCTCCCCAAACTATTACCTGGAAGAACATAAAATACAGGTTCAGCATCGTCCCCAAACCCATGCTTATTATGTCCAGTCCTGCTGTATTTCGTCATGTATAGTGTAAGGAAAATGTTATTCTTAAGGGTGAATGATTGCTCCCTCTTGTGGGAAAACCTAACGGCAGGACACGAGCAAGGGTCAACGGAAGAGGAATCTTTAATACATCCAGACATTTCACAGGTCTGAAACCACAAGCCACAAGGACATGTTTGTTGGTATTTATAAAATTAAATGCTTTTTGAGTTGGAACGGGTTATGCATATTGCTTAAACTTAAGTAAACATTCAAGTGCTTCTCCAAATGATCACTTAAAACGGGATTAAGAAGCAACTGACCTGAAGGACTTTACCCTGTGGACTTTCATCAAAAACCAGTGTCTGTTGGTACAAAGGATCGAGGGTCTTCCGTGCAATTCTTGTCTTCTTCTTAGCTATACATGTTCCATTTTCCAATAAATACACTTTGACATACGGAGCTGCAAACAGAACATCACAAATTTTATCTTTGGATTTAAAAACTTCTACACTGCACATCTGAGCTGGAGGACAAGTGCCTTAAAAGGGAGCTGAGTGGAAAGAAAATGATACATGCTATCTTCACTGTATAATCTGAATACAATTATATTTATAAAATAAATGACACAGCCCATAAGAAATCAATTTCATTTTTATAAACCTTGAATTTAATGATCTAAGATATTACTAACAACAGGTCCATTTCATGTCTGTCATCTTAAAAACACTTCCCTTTGCCAGCAATTAACTGTCACTGATAGCTACTCTGGAGTATCTACGTATGTTTAGTGGTCAGAGTACCCTTTTGGCAAAATGTTATCCAAAACAACTGTTCCAGTTATGGTAAGCAGTGGTTGTGGTGGAGATTATATATCTCTTCTAATAATGATTTCTATAAAGTAACCAGAGCTTCCAAAAATGTCCTTCTAAAATGATACAATATTAAATCTCATTCATTATACAAATTATTGTCACTGGCACTAGCATAAACTGCTGTCTTGAAGCACTGTTGCATACAGAAGACCATGGCATGTGGGTCCATTAAGCTGTTTGCTCAAAGCGCTTTCATCTGTTCTCCATCTCTTTTTGATGTGGAACAAACACAACGGACTTCACCTACATCAACAAAGCCCGTCTGAGATATACGACTTGCCCAAGATACGCAGAAATACTTCTGCAAATGTTCCTTCCAGAATGGATGTTGAGTTGCTGAAAATCATTCCTTGAAAGGTAGCATGCAATTGGCACATGCGAGGTGGTAAGAAGTAGACATTGGTAGCAAGGATATACCCATGCACACATTCCTTGTTGAAAAGCAAACCATAAAAATGCAAATGTAGTGACAGCTAATGAGGAGCTCAAAAAGTCTCTGATCCCCAGTTCATCGGTGTATTTCATATTCTTGTCTTCTGTTTTTTTTTTTTTTTTTTTTTTTGTTCTTACCTGGGGTAGATTTGGAGCCAGGTTTTTGTGTGAGGCCACGGGCTCTAATGACTTCAACTTCCAGCTGGCCCTTTTTATCCACCATTCCAATCTGGATGTCACCTGAGAGGGAGAAGAAAGAAGCCCACATTTTGGAGAGGCAGTATGGCCCGGGAGATAGGGTGTAAGAGTGAGAAACAGATTAGTTTGTTACTAGTCTGCTGCATTAGCGTGCTTGTCACCTCTTCTCCTGATCCCTTTAATTTCTCTGTCCTTAAACCAGGACTTAAAGATAAATACTTAGGAAGCACAGTGCCCTTTCTTGGTGTACAGTTTATACCAGAGCTCAGTATTTCTGATCCATGGAGGCAGGCAGATTTACAGCAACACTATGTATGGTATAACCACCACACCTTTAATTTTGCACTGGTGCACTACCTAGAGACTTCCTACCTAGGACTGTTGCCCCAGTGTGCCGGTCACTGACATGCGCTTCCTGAACAGTGATCCCACACTCAGAGAATCTAAAACCCAAACTCATGTTCAGAAATCCCCTCAGCTGGATGTTTCTGCCTCCAAGCTGAGATGCAAGAGCTGGCAGTGCAAAGGGACATTGTCTGATGTAGCAGGAAGAAGAACTGATGGTAGAGGCTAACTTTGAAACCCTCTGTAACTACCATTGTCTGACTGGATCCTCAGCCTGAGGCAGAGACACCAACCAGATGAGGCACATAGTCATAGCACAGCTTCAGAGAATGGTGCCCTGCCCTCCAGGAGCTTAAAAGAGGTCTTCTTCTGCAAAAGTCTCTAACAAGTACAGAGGTGACAATTTTCCTGTTTTTATCAGTTTTCCACACCCATTTTTGGTGTGAATAAAATGATGCAACATGTTAAAATAAGATGCTAATTCTGCTACTAAGTAGTCAAACTTATGACCCTGCCCGAGTTCTGACAGATGACATTTCCTGCAGAAAAAGGAAACTGCTTAGTCCAAGACCAACCACCATTCTGATCGAGATAATAAAATGCAAGGGAAGTCAACTATGGGCTGATGCTCAAAGCATTGTATCTCTATGGTTTCATGCACCATGGAACCAGCTAGGTAGAAATCTAACAGGCCACTTAGAATAAAAAATGCAGAGTATGACATGGGCAGCTATCTGACACTTGTGCGTTTAGATAGGTATAAATAAATACATGAAACACCTGAGTATGGATATATTTGACTTGTAAACCCTGATTGTCTAAAAAGCACAGCCAAAAATAGGCAGTCCTGAACTACAGAAATCGGGGTCCAGATTTAGAAAGACAGCATTTTGAAATTAACTGGGCATGAGACTTTCACATGCTTGTCTAACAGTATATTAAAGCAGTGTTTTTACCTTGGTACTTGAGGTATGACAGAGCAGCAGGGAAGGCTTTTTTAATCAATCAAACTTTGCTTGAATAAACAGAGTTCTGTGTTGCGCTAAAAATAGTTCACAGGAAAATTCCAACAAGACTTTTTAGAGCACATCTCTGTATCACATATCCAAAATAACACATGCGATACCAGAAGGGGGAGTGGTAATACAAACGTTTTCAAATTATCACTAGTGAAAGGATGCAATGTAGAAGGTCTCCTGAAAATTGTTAAAAAACATTACTGAGTGCTGTTTTGAGGGGCCAAAATTTGTGCCTTTAGTAAATAAAACAGTTCTAAGAAGTGAAAATAAACATATTACTCAAGTAATCTGCAGAAAAATATTTAGCCACAAAACAAGATTAAAATAAATAGATGGAAGAAATCTAGACCCTTATATTCATACCAATAGAGCCACTTAGATTTTCATTGGGCAAATCATCCCACAAATACCTTCTCATTCAAAATAAAAAAGAATCTATTTAACAGGTTTGGTGCTTATTAATGCAATAGAAAAGTAGGAGTTATTTGGACTTCACAGCAACTTTTGCCTTATGGGGTACTCAAAGCATTCTCAAGAAAGTTTCTGTCTCCTTCTGCTCATTAATTGGGAGGGGAACTCTCTCTTCTGCAATTTTTCTTTCTGTTTCTCTCTCCTTTTTCAGAATTGTCTCAGTAGCCCTTCCTGAAGTTGATTCTCCCAAGACAGCTGTACTGAAGCATTGGCCGCTTGTAATTTCCAGCAGAAGTACAGTTACAGTAGTGGATCAAGGACTACTCACTTAACATGCTACAGCATGGCTAAGAATTGCTCATATATAAGCAAAAAATGATGAAACCTTTCCAAAGATACTTAAACAGTACTGTGCTGTTGTACTACACTCATACTCTAGTCATAACCAAGATAGAGCTAATGCTACTATAGGGAAATCCAGACCGGTATGGAATAGGGAAGGCTGCAGATAGGCCCAGGCAGCTGCTGTAGGAAAGGATTTAGTCTCTTTCAGGACAAACATCAGCTCTGTCAGCAACTGATTATTGGGCATTGCGAATGAGGCCAGAAGTTTCCCATTACTTCATGATGAACTAGGCTTGGACAGGCGCAGAGTTTGGTCAGAAACTGTCACATCCAATATAATCTGTGGCAAGTAAATACAAACTCTGAACAGCTGTGATATTGTGGTGAGCTACAACTGGAGAAGCCACAATAATTTCGAGTGGGAAGTAAACTGCAATCCCCATCTTCAGATTGCAAATGAGATTAGCAGACACCTCACATAGGGAAAAAATACTGTTTCTCACCCCATTTTGGGTGCTAGCATGCTAGAAATACCAGTGACTGCATATAGGACCTTCACGCTTACAGCGAAGGAAGTCACTTGTAAAAGTCTGGCAGTGTGTGCATTAGTTAATTGGTTTATTATTCATTTAACAGAGGAGAACGTATTATTCTTACCCATGGCAGGGGTTGCTAGCGTTTGTCGGCCTACTAACTGTGCAGGTCCAAGTCCGTCGAGGAAATCACTAAACTGACTGTCAGCGCCCAGCCGTACTCCAGGAAATATTAAGCTGAAGCAAAATAAAAGCTGGTTAAGCATAAGAACAGGATTAATTTCTATTGTCCTACAGCATTTACCTTGAAAGTACTACTTATACAAGGCAAGCAACTCAGGATGTGCAGCCACAAATTGTTCTGCAGCATCAGGAACGAGCTGTTTCCCACAGACCCCAAAGAAGTGTAGTGAAATTCTGCACATGGACCCGAAGTAGTCCATAAAGCAGTTCTTGCTAAGGAGTTCTCCAGAAGCCGTGAAGAGCCTGACATGTGAAAAAACTATGAGTGACCTTGTATGAGAAAACATAAAAAGCCTCATGAAATTTAATAGCCTATCATTCTTCATTCTTGAATGCTTGATTTACCTTGTAATACTGTTTTATGTCTACACATACATCCAAACCCCATCCGCATCAGTTAGAACAAACAGGGAAAACAGATGTATACACTAAATTAATTTGATTGTTTCAGCTGTATAATGAAGCAGTAAACTGGCAGGTAGTACTAGTGTTGGTTAGAGCTAAGCCTGATGCCACTCCCTAGCCAAAACATGCTGGTAGCCACATCTGGATCTACAGTTGGTACCCACAGGACACAAACTGAATGGTAATACATTGGCACAGAATATATGGACTTTTCCAAGCTGCTTTCTTGTATTCCAGAATCTTTCTTTTTAATAGATACACAATCTCCAAAAAATAACAAAAACAAACAAACCAAACAAAAACAAAAAGGAGAGAGAGAGAATGAGCCACGGTGTGGAGACTCATCTTTGACTGCCTCATCACAATTATGAGGAACACAAGAATAGACTCTGAACCAAGTCTAGATAGCATCTTATCTGGCAGGCCATCCACCATTCTGTATCTGCTTCTCCCTCAAAGGAAATTCCCTATTAGACTGGAGAAAATAATCACAAAACTTCCTACTGGAAACATCTAGTGTGAAAATCTTTGATTTCTACAAGTCAGGCTTATGTGCTCCAGTCATTCAGTTCACAATGAAAACTCTCTGCAAACTCCAGTAAGTTCGAAAGAAAAGGCCCATTCCTCTCTTCCAGACTAACTGATCTTACTACGCCTGCATCAATGTATAGACTGCCTGAAACTAAAGCTGGCCAGAAAATATCACAGAGTGCTTTTCACTAGAAAACTCTGATTTACCAAAAGATAAGCTTTTCACAGCAGTTTGGTTTTAAATCATATTTAAGAAGGTTTCTTTAGATGGAGGAGGAAAAGAACCTTAAGGTCTCCAGTTCAATCATCAGCCCACCAGTTACAACATTCACCTAACCATGAGAGGCAGGTTCAAGCCATCCACCCAACCCACCAAGACACACAGCCTTCTCTCCCCAGTGGCACTACTCATTCACTCTCGCCCCTGCTATGAGAAGTTTCTTGCTCATTTCTTTGCCCTTTTTCCCCCAAACGCCTGTTACATTTTTCTATGGAATGATTAACAACATTGAAAGTCTTCACTTGAGAGCCTTCCCACTTTTCAGACACCTGTAGCTATACAAATAATGAAGGGTGTGAACTACTCTATTCACCTCAATGTACATTAATTCTCATTCGTTAAACTCAGGTTATGGGTCAAGCAGAAGAATGTAACATGGTACCGGGGGTATCTACTGTAGGACTGCATTCTCAGCTCATTCACATTCTCAAACAAGGAAGGAAAAGTAGCTTGTGCAAACTTAACAGAAGCATTTCCTCATTGTCATCATTACCCATCTACAGGAATGTCAAGAGTTAACTGAAGACAAAACACTAATGCAACCAAAGTCAAGCTCTTGCTGATTTTGATGGGAATCTCACAGGAGACAGGAAAAAACTAGCAAACAGCTTTGCTATTCAAATGTAGGAGAAGTCTGAATACAAGGTCAAAAACTGATTCATGCTCACACTAGAAATAACACCTGAAGTTAAAGGTGACATTTATAACATATGAAAAAGGCCCAGAAGAAGGAGGGAGAGGATTTTAAGATCAGCTGGCACAGTGCATGTACCCCTGATTATGTGATGCAGTTGTGCAGCTTCCCCTTCACCTTGCAGTTGTGTCCAGTTCATGTTCTAAAAATTGGGCAGTGATGCACATAGGGGAAGTGATTATATAGTACAAGATTGTTTAACTGGTCATCTTTCTTACAAGAATCTCCACATTTAACATTCTTCATTCACTGTGAACTAAACCCAGAGCTGCTCTAAACTAACGTTATTCTATCAAACTCAAGTAAATTCACAGAGGATCTGAGGATCTGATCTATAGCTAAATCACAGAACCATAGAAAAACAGAAGACTTTAGAGATGTTTTCTAAGCCACAAAGTACAGCACCGCGGTGAACAGAGCCCTCTGGCATCCCTTTTATCTATAGCCTTGTGGTTTGTGGAATGTTTCTCTTCCTGCATTGCAATAAGATATATTTAACTGTTTCACCTGAGTTTTGTTATCCACCTCCTTTGGCCCATTCTCCTGGGCTTCCCAGCAGAGTCACTGATAGATATTGGTGGTGTTCTCACTTCACCGGCATTTCTTTACCCTTGCCAGAGATGGAATAGGGATGTGGAGATCACGGACATTAGTTAAGGCTAAGGTCAAGTGTGAAATGGGTTTGAAGTCAGGAAATGAAGTTGAGGTAGAACGAGGAGCTGGTAACTCTATCAAACCAAAAGTCTGGGACAGAAACATAGTGAAAAGTTAGGGAGCTGGTGCCAAAAGTATGGATTGGAAAAGCAGGACAAGCGTGGTCAGATGTGAAGAAATCTATTGTATGAGAGAGCTGAGAGACATAAGGAGACTTATCAGAGGCAGAACTGGTGCTGGGGCAGAAGAAGATGGGGAACAGGCACAGGAGCTAAGGAGGCAGAAACAAGATGTAAGATACAGGTAGTGTGACTACCAGATTACGGTAGCCCACTTTACCTTGAAGATTGACCTACTTCTAGAGGATGATTTTCAAACTAAGTCCCAATATGCACACCCAGACTGCTATATGTCCCAATAAGGAGCAAGCACCCCGTTTATGTCCCAGGCTTTCTCTCTTCACTGCCTTGCTCAGAGGCTGGTTCTCAAGTCAACAATTTACAGCTCTACCTTGCAGTTGCTCTCCTCCAGATGCCTGCTGTGACCTCCAGATGGAGACCCCAGCCACCCAAGACTTGCCAAATCCGTTTACACACTCTGAAGGTGGAGCAAAGGATTAGGCTGTTCCTCTATGAACATCCTGAAAAGGTCTGAAAAGGTCCTCACTGTCAGTGCTGAGCTCCCACTCCTTCCATATTGCTAACCAGGGAAACACGTTCCCCCAGCTCACCCTTAGCAGGGTCCAGTTTACTGGGCCCTTTGGCATCGTGATGAGTGACTGGTCCGTTACAGACTGACACTCCAGCCTAGAGAGAGGAAGGAGGATGGCAGGATGAAGTGCTGAAGGGTAAAGGTAATGCCCTATCATAGGATCATACTGGAAAAAATACCAGGGTGTTTTACTTTTGTCCCTCACAACTTGCTTAACTACTTTGTTTTTGAGTTATTAATGATGGAGTCTTTTTTCTTACATGAGTCCTGCAATTGTTAGCAGAATCATAGAATCATAGAACAGTTTGGATTGGGAGGGACTTTTAAGGATAATCTAGTGCAATCCTGCTGCCATGGGCAGGGACATCTTTCACTAGATCAGGTTGCTCAAAGCCCCACCCAACCTGACCTTGAACACTTCCAATGATTAGGCATCCACAACTGCTCTGGGTGACCTGTTCCAGTGTCTCATCACCCTTGTAAAAAAATGAGGGTGGTGAGATCATCTGATGATGGAGAAACTGCACCTTTACACAGCTCCTTGCAACCACCACGGCTGCCCCTGGCTCTTCGTACCTTATACAATATGCAGTAGCAATTGTGGTCACATGGTAAGCACATAAAAAGACGAAGTCAAAGAAGTCCCAGTCTCTCATTTTTTTCCAGGTTTATAGGGTGAATTTGTCTACCCTCAGTTTCCCCTTTTGTTGGGAGGCATCTTCTAAGAATTCCCTAGTGACCACTGTGTCTTGGCACACATGGTAGAGTCCCACTGAGAGCTGTGAAGAGGCTGGTGTATTCACGCACACTTTTGTGTCGAACCTGCCTTTGTTCTCCTTTCCTACAGACCGAGTCATTCAGCAGTGAATGAAAACAGCTGCCCCATTGCCCACGGTTGTCTGCCTGATTTCAGCTGATGGGGCAGCTGGACTCTGGGTTTACAATTCTCAATAAGAGACTTGGACCAACTCCAAACTAAACTCTCTCTGTATATACTGAACAGAGTTTCGTATCACAGGGGTTTACATACAACATCTGAAGTTTAACTCTGAGTTAATCCAAACATAACTCAAAGAAAAAATACCCCTATGTTTTGTTTTAAATAACGCTGTCTGAATTCAGTTGTCTTTTGATGAAAAAAATGCTTCAGTGGGTGACAGGGAAAATGTGAATCCCTAAGAAGTACTCTCTCAGTTTCCATTTTTAAGAAATTTGTGTTATGTTCCCGAAATAGTTCAGTTTTGCAAATGTTTCAAGAGGAAGAATCTGTACACAAAGCTATGCCCTTCAGTCAGAGCTGGGACCTCTGTTCACATCCCAAGTTTTCTTACAAAGACAAGACATTTCTCCTACATTACTGATGTTTTTAATGCTACTTACTTGCCCTCGGAGCTATAACTATTTATGCTGCCATCAGTGGATTCCCGACTTGGCTGTCGAACCATACGACTTCTCATCTCTGCTGCCATTCCTGTCTCTGTGCTTCTCTGTATCGTGCTCTTTAGCTTCTTGTTGCCAGCCTCTGAAAGCAGAGAAAAAGAAGTGACAGTTAGAATAACAACTTAGACCAAAGCCTTTCCTTGCAGTTTTCCCCCAACAAGTGATATGACTTGAGCATTACTATTTAATAATACAAAAAGACTATTCTGATCGAAGATGGAATGTATCTTCCTCAGTTGCAAACTGGTGAAGACCTCTCTTTAGAAGGGCTGCAGCCTAGGGCAAACTTCAGAAATCAGCTGTCTTATTAATAACCTCTATACAGTCAGAATGTAGACAAAACGACTGTGATAGTGTCTGCTAACATACACTTGGTAAGGAGTCTCTAGCCACCTTGTCAGTTAGGTTGGGTGACTACAAAAGAAGTTACAACTCTCACAGGAAAAGAGAGGGAAAAAAAACCTTCATGCATACAACAGAAAAATGTTAAGTAGAGTACTAAAATATTTAGTATCAAAAATATAATAATGTGTTTTGACCCAGCAAAATCTTACTTTTCACCACAGAAATTCTTCAAGGTAAACAATGAGCTTTACATAACTTCTCATCTCAGCACTTCCTAAGTAGAATTAACTCTTTGGAGAATCCATGTGGAAGATGATGGACTTCACAGAGTCTAGGCTTGCAACTGAACACTAGGGAGCAATGTAAATCTTGTGAAATTATTTAAAGAATTGATCCATTTGGAAAAGCTTCCATCACACATTCCTTAAAATGCAATTTGAGTTCCACCTAGAAGGTTTTGTGTTACCCTTGAGCAAGGAGAGCTTCCAGTCCTTTCCAGGGGTGGTTATGGGCTCAAGGTGCAATGGCTGATCTACAATGAATTCTGCTGTCGCATGGCAGAAATTAGGCTTCTAAATGATGACACTCATTCTCAGACCTTTAACTGAAATACTTCCAACAAAGTCTCTGTGTGATGTAATAGTATGCGTTGCCTTCAGACTCAGTGTCCTATTCGTTTTCATTTAGTTCAGCCTGTCATTCAATGGGTAACATTACTTTCTCTCAGGAAGTCATAGATTTGATAAAGTTTCACGTAAGTATATGCAAAACCAGTCTCCTGCATTTTCCCCTTCATTTCAGTGCTCCTTCATTTGCTCTGTGCTAAGTCTCTGCTTCCTTTTCAGTCTGCTCAGGGGAGCATCTGAAAAAAAAAAAAGTTTCTTCCACCTCCACCTGCGTTAGAGACTGAATTGCTCTGAAAATTTTTTCATCTTCCCGTTTCACATGGGCATGGTTGACGTTTGAAGCTGACAGATCTTGACCTCTCTTCACATAAAAGCTACGATTTGGTATCCCCTGCACAGCCTGCCCATCGCTCAGGAAGATGAAACGTGCCGGTGAGAATAGCTGGCCCTTGCTCTTTGGGTCTGCAGAGCTGGAGGAGGGCAAGGAGAAACCACACGGGAGAGAGCAGCTCCCCCTCTCCTGGGGTTATCACAGTAACCTCTTTGGAGCTAGCAGACAGAAGACGTGGCCAAAGCAAAAAAGAAGTAAGTTATATATTGGGCTAAGAGAGGCTGCGCCACAGCAAAAGAGGCTGTGGTTTTCCTTTCAAGCCTTCTGGCCCAGGGATTGTTTATCTATGGCCACCCAGAAGCAGAGAAACAAATGCCTCTGAGTGGAAGAAATCATCTGCTTCCACAGATCCTTTACTCTCGTCTGAGGCCAACAGCGCTGAGGTTTTCCTGCGGGCCACTGCAACTGCAAATTCCCGGTCCTTGGCCAGCTGAAAACGCATTATTCAGTGTTGCTAAACGTGAGGTAAGACTAGGCTAGACAAGGTACACCAGGCAGACCAGGCTCCACTCTTAGACAGTGCAGGTGGCTGTGGAAGGTATTTGCTGGAACTTCAGTGACTCCGTATGTAGAAAAAAACACACTACATTTTGGACGTGAGCTTTACCTTTAAAAATAGATGGTGTGCCCAGCATATCAATGCTGAAAGGTAAGCTGAGCATCAAAAATGAATCAAAAGGCAGCCCAGGAAGTATAACCCACATGCAGAGCCCTGTGCCAGAGCAGGATTCTCACATTTTCAGTAGCTATGCATTTGCCACTCGTGTTGTTTTGTGCTTCTCTCTCTTGCTGGGACCTGTCTGCGAGTGCCTCTGTTTCCATCTGCTCCTACAAAGCGGGTGACATTATGGGGTTTACTCCCTGCCTTTTCTGGAGCCAGCCAGATCAGGCAGCATGACCCAAAGGATATAATATGGTAGAGCCTGAAATGTGGGCAGCTGAACAGGGTTGCCTGTGAGTATTCCCGGCTCAGGAAATGGGAGTGATGAGATCATCATGCCCTTGGCACAAATTGGGAAAGAGATGTCGCTCTGGACCACCTGGACAACATGGTGGGTGCAGAAACTTAGGTATTAGACTATTGGGAAAGCATCATGAAGAACATATTTGTAGAAATAATCACTGTAAAAAAAACCATAGACTAAATTACAGATATGATCATTTTAGCTTTGAGCCACATTAGAGAATGAAAATAGCAAGTGTTTTTTTTTTGAAAGAGTAATTTTATATTATCATGGATAACATCCATATTGCTGCTTGAACATCTTTGCTCCACAGACTTTAAATGCACAGACTGTGAAGTAGGAATCCTTTTACATGGCCATAAGCAAGTCCACAACCTTGTCTCACTGTGCTGCAAATACCAGATTGTCTTTTTCCAAATACTTTTCAAGTCACTGCTCTCTGTGTCTTACTGTGCTGGATTCAATTTCTTTTTTCTCTTGTCAACATTTTTTTTCGGGTTGAAGATTAAAAAAAATTCTTTTGCCTCCTCTTGTAAGTGCTACTAATATCCACAATGTTTCTTGGGAAAACTAGAGTCTTCCTGCACGTTTCATTTTATAACTTCAGTACCTAATATTCTGCAGTACAATCAGATATATAACATAAAAGTAACTCAAAACAAAATGGTAAAACACATGAAGAGTTTTATGGCATAAAGGGAATTGCTTTGGCCCATGACTAAGAACCAAAACAGATGTCGCACAGGTTTTGCAAGTTTTAACCTTGGTCGGTTATGCATATTGTAGGTTTTTTCATCCACTTATAGCAAAAAGAGTAATGAGAACATTTTATCTTGTTGGTGCACTCCTGCAAACTTCTCATTCTGCAAAGGAGGGAGGTGGTTAGCACACAGCTGAGGTGAGAACTGCTGTTATTTCTTGAGGTACCCCAGTAATGTGAAGTGACTCTGGGGTACAAATTCCAGTCCTGCCTTGACTGCACAGTGAAATACAGGATCCCAACAACTACCAGTGTTTCTCCTGCTCTTGATAATATTTTTTTTTTAAACTGTAATTTTCATCTTGTATGACTTCTAATCTAGCAGTTCTGCATATATCTTTGGAACCCTGTCTTTATACAAGCAGTAGAAGTTCATAAAATATTTAAGTTCAATATCTATGCTATGATACATTGAGAAGATTTTCTACTCTTGGCAGGGTATCTATTGAAGAATGAAGATTTTTATTTGTTTGATACGTACAATTAAATTTTATAATATATTACAGTTATTTGCCCACACTGTGTAAATTACCCTATATTCATTGTGCAGACTGAAGATAAACTGGCTCTATACTGAACACCATTTAGGGGCAAAATTTACTCCAAAACGGTCTATATGCTTCTGTCTGCCGTGTCAATTGTGTAAGGCTTTCCGCATGCAGAAATGCAGACCCATGTGCATAAATTGCGTCTAAACACATAGTTTAACAGGTACAAGCTAGAGAAAAAGTATTACAGAGCAATTGTAATGAACATTTTTGCAGATTTAATAAGGATCATAAAGGATCCTTATTATGCAAAAGGATCATAAAGCAGCCATCTGCAGCTACAAAAGATACACAGCTTGTAAGCATTTTGCAATTCATCAACTGCCTTGTTGTAGCACCCTGTTACAACACACTGATGAGTGTGTGCAATGTGCTATTTCAGCCTACCTATTATAAATATAGCCTATAGTGATTGCTTTTTAGTCTGACAAGAAACTGGTCCCTAATTTTGGTTTTCTCAGACTAAAGCAAATTAATGGAGATCCTGATCTAAGTAATGTTGAAGAGCAAAAAGGAAGCAAGTTAGTGTATGTACTAACGTTTGCACAAAGTATTAGTGCAATTGATGTGTCCCCAGTTTCTGTGCTTCCTAATCACCTTCAAGTATAGCATCCAGGAGCAAAAAGTTATTGACAAGAGAATTGTGTTAGAGAGAAAGGGTCAGTGATACTATCTATAGAATTAAGATGGTCTACTAGAGATACCTCAAGGCTAGCTTTGTGTTTCTAAAGGCATCCATTTCAGAGAGGACAATGCCAGGACAAACACCTCAGAATGACTTGTATCCATGACTGCCCTTAGCAAAGGCATGACTGCACAAGCCATCACCATTGGCCTGGCTTTTTCTCTGGGCTCCATGTGGTGCCTGGAGACAACTACTACATTTTGCTCTTGTTTCATATACTAAGCCTGAAATAACAGGAGGGGCCGCGCCACATCCTGCTGGAGTAAAGCTTTTATCCTGTGATGCCAAGGTGTGTATTACATGCCAGGGGACATACAAGAATACACAAGGACACAAGCTTGGTGACTTCGTCAACAGGACAGCGTCAGAAACCTCTGTAGGGCAGGAGACAATCCTGACATGGTCTTCTATGCACTGCCTATAGGAAGAGGTGCCTTGAGTGAGCATTGCCCAGAATCATACCTGAGGGCAACTAGTTGGTTAGCACCCAAAAAAAGCAGCAAATTTATACACATGCAGCACCTGGGTATGTGGCATGGAAAATTTGCAACCAGTTCAAAGGAACACTCCAGAGAACAGAGTATACACCACTGCTAAACGCACTCATGAAAGGGACAATAAAAAGAGTACTAATGCTCAATGTCATCGCATGACTCAAGGGCAAATTATTCACGGTATCGAGCATGCTCATGCATCCAAAGCAAGCCTAAAAGGACTACAGCTCCAAGCCAGCTCTGACTGAAACCTGGCAGGACTGTG